GGCTTCAAGCGTCGCCACTCGGCTGTTGACTCCCAGACTTTCTGTGGGGCAATCTGACAGTAGCTGTTGATGCTGCAGTGTTTTCATGAGCCTGTCGTCTATGAAACTTGCTATTTTTTTTATTATTGCACAATTTAACAAGGCCCTTTGAACCCCTCTCTCAATAATCTGTTGTAGGAGTGGAGGGGTCAAATGGCTGAAACCTTATTTAATTGATCAACGATAATTAGTACTGCGCAATTAAATAAGGCTTGAGACCCCCGATATACCTAGTAAATTACAGCTGCAGGGGGAGACCATCCCCCCCCCCCACCCGGATGTTTCTTCTATGGTGGCTCGCCTAGCCAGTACAAACACTAGTGAACACTCAGACAGGAGACGGGTAGACCAACGTGATTTTATTCTTCCTCTTTTTCGCGTTCACCGGTTGTAAGCTCTGGTTGTTCGTCCACTTCTGGACTCTAGTCATGTTCCAGAACCTGAGAGTTGCGTGTACATCCGTTTCACAGGTCTGACTCATCTGCATGCAGATTGTTCGTTCCTTGCCTCTCAGGCAGAGGTACTCCAACTTCGAACGAAGCTCCCAATTAGTCGACTCTTACGACATGCTTTTGGGCAGGCAGTGGATTTATCTTATTTTCCCCCCACAACTGGGTCCCGGAACCCACACACGGGGACTAATTTGGTCTGATCCAGTTAGTGACAGACGTTATACTGTACCCTATGCTCTATCCCCCCTCCCCTTTATAGCGGCCAGCACTGGGAGCGAACCCACAACGTTAGCGTTATCAGCGACACAGCAGTCAAGTGCAGACAGCAACAAACAAGCAACATACAGGCCAGCCGCTGTGTGAACACAAGCACAGATGAAGAGATCCGAGCAGACGCCAACAAACACCAGATAGCAGTAACACAAACAAAAAAACTCCAGTCTTGCACATAGAAATCTTTCCCCTAACCGCGCCAAATAAACACCACGTATACACACAATACTGATATACAACAACAACGGCAGCCGTCTGTGGAGCGGAGATAAGAGACAAGACAGAAATCGCCTGTGATATTCCCATCGCTACAAGGGGGCCTCTATGTGTTCGGGGATTCCCGCCCAGGCCCCCTGGTTTTTTTCCTATAAACATACAAACTGGCACTGCTTTCGCATGTATCCATATATGAAAACGAACTACAGATAAAGGGTTAGGGGAGGGGAAACAGACACAAGCAACCAGCCCGCGTTTCCACCACCAAAGTTGTTATCAGAAAAAAGGCTCTTTCCACGCTTTCAGGCGTATTCGGCACAGAGGGCTAGTCAACGTGGGCTGCCTTTACTTCCCAGGATTGTACCTGGTATCCATTCAAAACTGAGCCGACCTGGAAGCCAAAGTCATTTTTTTTTAATCCGGCTGCGTCAGGATCTGAACCCACGACCATCCGATCCGCAGGCGAGTGTCTAGGCGCTACACCACGACAGTTTCCCAAGTTGTTATTGGGGTACAGGCTACTTGCTTGTACCCCAATAACAAGCAGGGGCATCCACACACACGGGCAAAATCTGGAGTTTAAAATCTACTTAAAGTATTTCAGGATCCTCACCGCTGCAACAGATCCTGTGCACTGTGCTGAGTTTTTTTTTGTTTTTTGGACTCCGACTTGAGTTAGAAGAAGAACGTAACACTTATAGGTTACAACCGTGTGCCATGATGTTGATCCATTGTTCAAAACCTGTCTGCAAGGTGTTTGTATTGTGTGTCTGTAGGTGTACATGCATGCTGTTGTCATCACTGATAATGACTTCGGTTAAAATGCTATTTTGCTATCAGTGTGTGGCTCTTGTCAAGCTGCCTGGTTGTATTGTGTGTTGCCCCATTCATAGCTTCCATCAGCTAAACCAACACAAGCCAACTACCATCTCCTCCATCTTGCCCACCAGGTATGGCACGAGAGAGATAGGGGTTGGCACGATAAACTGTCATGTCAGCAGCCAAACATGAGGTACCGTCAGTGAGTAAGGAAAATAATAAACACTATAACCACCAGAAAAGGGCAGAAGAAAGAGGTATTAACAACTATGCAAACGACAACACCTAAAGATATGTACAACAACTGAAGACATCCACAACAGTTGAAGACATCGAAAACTGATGACATATACAACAAATGAAGATACCTACAACAAATGAAGATGGCTACAACAACTGAAGACATCTACAACAGCTCAAGACATTTACAACTGAAGACATCTACAGCAACTCAAGACATCTACAACAACTGAAGACATCTACAGCAACTGAAGACATCTACAACAGCTCGAGACATCTACAACTCAAGACATCTACAACAGCTCGAGACATCTACAACAGCTCGAGACATCTACAACAGCTTGAGACATCTACAACTCAAGACATCTACAACAGCTCGAGACATCTACAACTCAAGACCTCTACAACAGCTCGAGACATCTACAACTCAAGACATCTACAACAGCTCGAGACATCTACAACTCAAGACATCTACAACAGCTCGAGACATCTACAACTCAAGACATCTACAACTCAAGACATCTACAACAGCTCGAGACATCTACAACTCAAGACATCTACAACAGCTCGAGACATCTACAACTCAAGACATCTACAACAGCTCAAGACATCTACAACAGCTCGAGACATCTGCAACTCAAGACATCTACAACAGCTCAAGACATCTACAACAGCTCGAGACATCTACAACAACTGAAGACATCTACAGCAACTGAAGACATCTACAACAGCTCAAGACATCTACAACTCAAGACATCTACAACAGCTCGAGACATCTACAACTCAAGACATTTACAACAGCTCAAGACATCTACAACAGCTCGAGACATCTACAACAGCTCGAGACATCTACAACAGCTCGAGACATCTACAACTCAAGACATCTATAACAGCTCGAGACATCTACAACTCAAGACATCTACAACAGCTCGAGACATCTACAACAGCTCGAGACATCTACAACAGCTCGAGACATCTACAACAGCTCAAGACATCTACAACAGCTCGAGACATCTACAACTCAAGACATCTACAACAGCTCGAGACATCTACAACTCAAGACATCTACAACAGCTCGAGACATCTACAACTCAAGACATCTACAACAGCTCAAGACATCTACAACAGCTCGAGACATCTACAACAGCTCGAGACATCTACAACTCAAGACATCTACAACAGCTCGAGACATCTACAACTCAAGACATCTACAACAGCTCGAGACATCTACAACAGCTCAAGACATCTACAACAGCTCGAGACATCTACAACAGCTCGAGACATCTACAACTCGAGACATCTACAACAGCTCGAGACATCTACAACAGCTCAAGACATCTACAACAGCTCAAGACATCTACAACAGCTCAAGACATCTACAACAGCTCAAGACATCTACAACTCAAGACCTCTACAACAACTCAAGACATCTACAACAGCTCAAGACATCTACAACAGCTCAAGACATCTACAACTCAAGACATCTACAACAGCTCAAGACATCTACAACTCAAGACATCTACAACAGCTCAAGACATCTACAACAGCTCAAGACATCTACAACAGTTCAAGACATCTACAACAACTCAAGACCTCTACAACAGCTCAAGACCTCTACAACAGCTCAAGACATTTACAACAGCTTAAGACATCTACAACAGCTCAAGACATCTACAACAGCTCAAGACCTCTACAACAGCTCAAGACCTCTACAACAGCTCGAGACCTCTACAACAGCTCGAGACATCTACAACAGCTCAAGACATTTACAACTGAAGACATCTACAGCAACTCAAGACATCTACAACAGCTCAAGACATCTACAACAACAACTCAAGACATCTACAACACCCGAAGCTATGTACAACAACTGAAGACACATATGACAACTGTAGACATTTACAATTCAAGACATCTTAATCTCAAGACATCTTCATCACGAAATCATCTTGCCTACGATAAATGATGCAGTGAATCATGTACACCTCATTCTCACAGCAAGTATCGCCATATATATACTAAGAGTATTATCACATGATATCAGTTCCCTTCTGTGCCACTTCGTTCAGTTAGCAGCTCTGCAGATATATATATATATAAAGTACACAAAGTCAGCCGACTCAGTCATGGGTGTCCAGTAGCGGAAGTGGGACCGGCAGACCGACGAAAGATTGTTGACTCAGTCATGGGTGTCCAAAGACGGGACTGGGACCGGAAGACAGACACAAGATTGCTGACTCAGTCATGACCGTCCAAGGATGGAACTGGGTCCGGCGGACAAAAACAAGATTGTTGACTCGGTCATGACCGCCCAAAGATGGAACTGGGTCCGGCAGACAAAAACAAGATTGCTGACTCAGTCATGACCGTCCAAGAATGCAACAGGGTCCGGCAGACAAAAACAAGATTGCTGCACGCACTCATGACCGTCCAAGGATGGAACTGGGTCTAGCAGACAAAAACAAGATTGCTGACTCAGTCAAGACCGTCCAAGGATGGAACTGGGTCCGGCAGACAAAAACAAGATTGCTGACTCAGTCATGACCCTCCAAGGATGGGGCTGGGTCCGGCAGAGAAAAACAAGATTGCTGACTCGGTCATGACTGTCTAGGGAAGGAATTGGGACAGACCATGATCTACGTAAGTAGATCCTAGTCAGACAGACACAATAATACTAACTCAGTCATGGGCGATTAAACCAGGATAAGAAAGGGACAGAGAGACACAAATAACATCTGACTTAGCCATGGGTGGCTGAGGACGGGACAAGACAAGGACGGACTGACTGACAGACAGACAAAGAACAGCTGACTTAGCCATGGGTGGCTGAGGACGGGACAAGACAGGGACGGACGGACAGACAGACAGACAAACAGCCGACTCAGCCATGGGTGGCTAAGGGCGGGACAAGACAGGGACGGACAGACAGACAGACAGACAGACAAAGAATAGCCGACTTACCGCACGTAAGTGAAAGATCCCGAGGGTCGTCTCAAGGTCTTGCTGTGTTGAAACTTGGTTGCCAGACTGTGCGGCCCATGGTAGGAGCTGTGTCGTTTGATGCTGCTCTGAAATGTTGCAACCACAAACAAATCAACACTCAGGCGACTGGGATATGTCCTAGGGGTCAGCCCCCAGGAACACTTTAGGGGTATCATTTGTCAGTGGCCTTGTTTATTTGAGCAATTTTTAAAACGCTCTAAAAGAATTTTTTTTTTTGGAAAACGGGGGGGGGGGGGGGGGGCTCAGTGTGGCTCAGCGCCCCCCACCCCCCTCCCCAGCTCCCATGTCTGACGTCTATGCCTAGGCTTATCACAGAACATGTTGGTGTAAAACCTTCAGGTGGCTACCCCATGATGAGGTAGTATAGCATTCACTGAATTACCACATTCATCGGTGGTATAGTATTTACTAAATTACCACATTCATCGGTGTATAGCATTCACTGAATTACCACATTCATCGGTGGTATAGCATTCACTGAATTACCACATTCGTCGGTGGTATAGCATTCACTGAATTACCACATTCATCGGTGGTATAGCATTCACTAAATTACATTCATCGGTGGTATAGCATTTACTGAATTACCACATTCGTCGGTGGTATAGCATTCACTAAATTACATTCATCGGTGGTATAGCATTCACTGAATTACCAATCAATCATCGGTGGTATAGCATTTACTGAATTACTACAATCATCGGTGGTATAGCATTCACCGAATTACCACAATCATCAGTGGTACAGCATTCACCGAATTACCACAATCATCGGTGGTATAGCATTCACCGAATTACCACAATCATCGGTGGTATAGCATTCACTGACTTACCACATTCATATTGGTATAGCATTCACCGAATTACCACAATCATCGGTTGTATAGCATTCACCCAATTACCGCAATCATCGGTGGTATAGCATTCACTGAATTACCACAATCATCGGTGGTATAGAATCCACTGAATTACCACAATCATCGGTGGTACAGCATTCCTCCAATCTCTACAATATTCATCGGTGCTATAGGTGGTCAAGGAGAACTGCTTGTACCCATCAGGAGGAGACAGTCTGCATTCTTTGGTCATATGATGAGAAAGGGAAAACTGGAGTACATCGTGACACTGAGAAAGTTGGAGGGGAATAGTACACCATTCATCCAATCTCTACATAATGAGGTGGTATCGAATTCACTAAATCACCACATTATAAATTGGAATGATCTTTCCTAGATCACCACACGGAGGGCAGGGGGCTATGTCCTCACTAGATAGCTGGATTACACAACTGAAATACTAACAACATCAATCTGGCAAACTTACACTGAATATATTGCTCACTTCACTTTTTGAGGGGAAAAAAAAGAACAAAAGAAAGAAAGACAGAAAGAAAGAAAGAAAGAAAGAAAGAAAGAAAGAAAGATAGATAGATAGATAGATAGATAGATAGATAGATAGATAGATAGATAGATAGATAGATAGATAGATAGATAGATAGATAGATAGATAGATAGATAGATAGATAGATAGATAGATAGATAGATATAGATAGATAGATAGATAGATAGATAGATAGATAGATAGATAGATAGATAGATAGATAGATAGATAGATAGATAGATAGATAGATAGATAGATAGATAGATAGATAGATAGATAGATAGATAGATAGATAGATAGATAGATAGATAGATAGATAGATAGATAGATAGATAGATAGATAGATAGATAGATAGATAGATAGAAGAAAGAAAGAAAGAAAGAAAGAAAGAAAGAAAGAAAGAAGAAAGAAAGAAAAAAGAAAGAAAGAAAGAAAGAAAGAAAGAAAGAAAGAAAGAAAGAAAGAAAGAAAGAAAGAAAGAAAGAAAGAAAGAAAGAAAGAAAGAAAGAAAGAAAGAAAGAAAGAAAGAAAGAAAGAAAGAAAGAAAGAAAGAAAGAAAGAAAGAAAGAAAGAAAGAAAGAAAGAAATACCGACAGCTTCAGTAAGACCAGACCGGCTCCAGCTGACGGGCCTTGCTGCTGGCGTCACCTAACCGGGCTAACGATAAGTTAACGCCGCGATTCTCAAACTGGGTACCGAGACCGTGTGTCAGGGGTGCCGCGGCAAAAATCAAGAATTTGTCTAAATCTCCTGGGTTTTTTTTTTTGGAGAGGGGGGGGGGGGGGGGGGGGTCTTCTTTTCTTAAGTGTTCAAACAGCAGCGTAGGTGTGTCGCAAAATTTTTGTTTCTGCCCGACGAAAACAAGAATGTTTGACAAACGCTGCGTTAAAGTATCGTTAACCAGGTTTGGTGACGTCAGCAGCATGGCCCGTCAGCTGTAGCCGGTCTTGAATAAGAAATGGTTTGTCTAGAATATGTGACGGTGACTTTGAACGGGAGACGGCAAGGACAGTCAGTTGCAGCGAGATTAGCCAGATGTCGGCAGACTGTGGCCAGCTAGAGATGAGAGATATGAGACATCTTGGCAGAAACATATTCTGATCGTCACTGCACAATGTCGTGCATGCAATGCTGCACCCTCGTGAGCTGGCTGACATACATTGTGGTACAAACAACACGAGGCTCAAAGGTACTCCTTAGCACTCGTTGCAGGAGACAAGAGAATGCGAATATGTTTGAGGCAGCTGTAGTATTAGTTTACCTGTCACGTAGACAGCACCAGAAGTGGAACAAGAGAATATGTTTGAGGCAGCTGTAGTATTAGTTTACCTGTCACGTAGACAGCACCAGAAGTGGAACAAGAGAATATGTTTGAGGCAGCTGTAGTATTAGTTTACCTGTCACGTAGACAGCACCAGAAGTGGAACAAGAGAATATGTTTGAGGCAGCTGTAGTATTAGTTTACCTGTCACGTAGACAGCACCAGAAGTGGATCAAGAGAATATGTTTGAGGCACCTGTAGCATTAGTTTAGTTTACCTGTCACGTAGACAGCACCAGAAGTGGATCAAGAGAATATGTTTGAGGCACCTGTAGTATTAGTTTACCTGACATGTAGACAGAAACCAAAAAGTGGACAAGAGAATATGTATGTTTGAGGCACTGTAGTTTAGTTTACCTGTCACGTAGACAGCACCAGAAGTGGATCAAGAGAATATGTTTGAGGCACCTGTAGTATTAGTTTACCTGTCACGTAGACAGCACCAGAAGTGGAACAAGAGAATATGTTTCAGGTTACTGTAGTATTAGTTTACCTGTCACGTAGACAGCACCAGAAGTGGATCAAGAGAATATGTTTGAGGCACCTGTAGTATTAGTTTACCTGTCACGTAGACAGCACCAGAAGTGGATCAAGAGAATATGTTTGAGGCACCTGTAGTATTAGTTTACCTGTCATGTAGACAGCACCAGAAGTGGATCAAGAGAATATGTTTGAGGCACCTGTAGTATTAGTTTAACTGTCACGTAGACAGCACCAGAAGTGGATCAAGAGAATATGTTTGAGGCACCTGTAGTATTAGTTTACCTGTCACGTAGACAGCACCAGAAGTGGAACAAGAGAATATGTTTGAGGCACCTGTAGTATTAGTTTACCTGTCAGGTAGACAGCACCAGAAGTGGAACAAGAGAATATGTTTGAGGCACCTGTAGTATTAGTTTACCTGTCAGGTAGACAGCACCAGAAGTGGACAGAGAATATGTTTGAGGCACCTGTAGTATTAGTTTACTGTCACGTAGACAGCATTAGACAGATCAAGAGAATATGTTTGAGGCACCTGTAGTATTAGTTTACCTGTCAGGTAGACAGCACCAGAAGTGGATCAAGAGAATATGTTTGAGGCACCTGTAGTATTAGTTTACCTGTCAAGTAGACAGCACCAGAAGTGGATCAAGAGAATATGTTTGAGGCACCTGTAGTATTAGTTTACCTGTCAAGTAGACAGCACCAGAAGTGGATCAAGAGAATATTTTGAGGCACCTGTAGTATTAGTGTTTACTGTCAAGTAGACAGCACCAGAAGTGGATCAAGAGAATATGTTTGAGGCACCTGTAGTATTAGTTTACCTGTCACGTAGACAGCACCAGAAGTGGAACAAGAGAATATGTCTCAGGTTACTGTAGTATTAGTTTACATAACATGCAAATGAAACCAAAAGTGTAACAAGAGAACGAGTGTATGTTTGAGGCAGCTGTAGTATTAGTTTACCTGTCACGTAGACAGCACCAGAAGTGGATCAAGAGAATATGTCTCAGGTTACTGTAGTATGAGTTTACCTGTCAAGTAGACAGCACCAGAAGTGGATCAAGAGAATATGTCTCAGGTTACTGTAGTATGAGTTTACATGACATGCAAATGAAACCAAAAGTGTAACAAGAGAACCAGTGTATGTTTGAGGCAGCTGTAGTATCAGTATAAATATAGCACAACAAGACACAGAAATTAGCGTTTGGTGTTGTCGGGTGAGGCTAACCGTCGTTGGTTGGATAAGCTCATGTCACTAGGAGTGGTTGAAGAGGTGGGACAGGTAAAGATATAGACGGACGGACAGACAGACAGGTAGATGGATGGATGGATGGATGGACGGACGGACGGACGGACGGACGGACGGACGGACGGACGGACGGACGGACGGACAGACAGACAGACAGACAGACGGACAGACGGACGGACGGACGGACGGACGGACGGACGGACGGACGGACGGACGGACAGACAGACAGACAGACAGACAGACAGACAGACAGACAGACAGACAGACAGATAGACTGACTGACTGACAGACAGACAGACAGACAGACAGACAGACAGACAGACAGACAGACAGACAGACAGACAGACAGACAGACAGACAGACAGACAGACAGACAGACAGACAGACAGACAGACAGACAGACAGACAGACAGACAGACAGACAGACAGACAGACAGACAGACAGATAGATAGATAGATAGATAGATAGATAGATAGATAGATAGATAGATAGATAGATAGATAGATAGATAGATAGATAGATAGATAGATAGATAGATAGATAGATAGATAGATAGATAGAGACAGACAATGTAAAAAATGTAAAGTTATGTTCACATCATGTGAGTTGTCTGGTTTCCCCCACAAGAACTC